TAATGGGAAGCGAGATGCGCGCGGACGGGGGGCCCTGACGTCGAGCCGAACGGCGCAGCGTCCTTAGCCTGGGTCCTCGAACCAAGGAACCGGATTCCCCAAAATGAGCAGAGCGAAATTCGTCGCGAGGAGGTAACTCGTGCAGCGTGGAAGCTCTGCGCGGAGGTCTTCCGCAACTACCTAGGTACATGGAGTTTCAAGTGCTGCCCGGTTTTGCTCAAGAGGCTGATCGCTTAGCAGTCCTTCTAATCTGGAGGCGCTGCCTCGATCCCGCGTGGTAATAAACGCGCTATTGGACGGGGCTTCCGTGAGGCTGAGGAGAAAAATAAGCAAATTAGATAGGCAATGTACCCGGAAGTCTGTAATGGGCCCTTCGCGAGCGTGTTCGTGCATGACTTTAGTTTCCTCCTTTCTTTTCTCCCCTTCTGTTTCCTTCCGTTCCCCACGTGAAGGGCCTGAACCTAACGACGCTCGCTACCAAGGAGGAAGAGAACTACCAATAAGCCAGATATAGCGTCGAATATCGTGAACCGCCAATAACACTCGCTTGCCATAGCATCACTCACCGCCTAGGTGGGTGTACACGATATAGCACTCCAGGCCAACCCAACAGGATGAGGTTCCTGGCCCTCCCGACCTCGCTGCTCCTCAGCATCACGCTGCAGGCGCACGCCGCGGCCGCCCTCGAAAACGACTTCTCGTCGTACCCCCAGGGCTCGCAGCAATGCCTGAACGACGCGGCGGACCAGGCCCAGTGCTCGGGGAGCACGGGGCAGGAGCTGAACGAGTGCCTGTGCAAGAACCACGGCAACTTCATCTACAACACCGCGTCGTGCGTCGCCAAGAGCAGCCCCGCCGACCTGAACGCCGTGTACGACACCATGTCGAATAACTGCGCCGGGACCGGCGTCACGATCGCCGTCTCCAAGGACGCTTTCCTGTCGCAGGCCGCGGCGGCGACGTCGACGGCCTCGTCCGGGACCCCGACGTCTACGTCCTCGTCCTCATCTCCATCCTCGCCTTCCCCCACATCAACGCCGACGTCGACATCGACGGACTCGCCTACCCCAACCCCAACCAACACCGCAGCAGCAGCAGCATCCACCAGCGGCCTCTCCACCAGCGCCAAAATCGGCCTAGGCGTGGGCATCGGCTTCGGCGCCATCGCGCTGGCCCTCCTAGCCTGGTTCGTATGGACGTACTCGCGGCGCCGCCGCTCCGCACCACCCTCCTCCTCCCCCGGCGACCACAACGTCGAGCTAGCGCCCAACGGCAACAACAACATCAGCAGCAGCTACGTGTCGACGCTGACGCCGTCGACCGAGTACGCCGCGCAGTTCGGGGTGGCGGAGCTAGCGAACCAGAACCAGGAGTGGAAGGAGCTGCCGGCGGGCTACTACGCCGGCGACGGCGATAAGCGGGGGTCGGGGGCGCCGCTGTTGCGGGCGGAGCTGGGGACGCCCTCGCCCTCGCCTTCGCCTTCGCCCACGCCTATGCACGGGATCGGGGTCGCGCATGCTGCTGAGTTGCCCGGGAACGCGGTGTACAGCGATGTCACGCGCACGCCTCCATATGGGCGGAGTCCGCAGGGTCCGTATAGCCCGTATAGCGACCAGGCGTAGGGCCCAAAGTACGGGCAGGGGCAAGGGGGGATGAGTGCGGTCGTGAGATGAAAAAAGGAGTCAGGGGTTAGGGATTTAGAGGGGTATTACACAATCGTTTATTTACATGATAATCGAGAGACGACTAATACGTAATGATAGCAACAAAACAGAACCTCCAGTGAGCGATTATCTGGTACAAGATGCTCATAGGGTCAGGGGCAACATGGATAGCAGCACATGTTAGATATTTCGGCGTCTGGGCGTCCAGCGGCACGGCGTGTCGCGAGGTCTCTCATACATTACGTCAAGTAGCGTACCTAATACATTCCTTGAATGTATCAGTCACCAACATCTTCATCTTCTGCATACATCAGTCGACCTGCAACCCCCCTCGTCCAAGCAGGACTAGATACCTAGAGGTACCTAGGATGCCCCATGATTGGGGGTCAGATTATGAAAGTTACGAACGTGGATGTATGCGTCTGCGTCCCCGTTGCAATGAAGCACGGCATGGCCCGTGTTACCCCAATTTTCCTATCTAGGCGCCAATAATAGAGACCAGTGTTCATCGTCATGCCGTCAGCTTACGTGAGATAGGCACCCGTAAGCCTTGAGTCGGACTGCCGTCTAAGACATACAGACTCAGCGCACGGTCTAATTCGCCCGGTAGTCGGGAAACGTGCGATTTATTGATCAAGTAGCTACTTACGAATGTAGGGTTGGCCCGTCGGCTCACTCAGCCGACTGTTGTACGCCATGTACGCCGGCAGCAAGTACATTTCCCCCTATGCAAGTAAGTGCGAATTCTTGTTCAATGAGAGGACATTGCCGTCATTATCATCTCTGCTCAGGACGCAGACTTGGATATGTACCAAGTACATCGTGTTTGTTAGGGAAACCACTTGCTTTCACTAAGGAAACCTCGACTCAACCACCTCATTCATAAACTCATTTAAACATCCGTAAGAGTCGACGCGATAGAGGACGAGTCGTCTGCTACGCTTCTCTTACGCCAGAAAGCCAGTCTCTTAACCCATCCAAAGACCTGCCATTTCCCACGGCGTCTGCCTGAAATCACGCTTGAATCGCGGCTCCGGCTTCGGCTCCTGTGGCAATTGCAGGAACAGCAACCACAGCATGTCTTCCTGTTCTGCACTATCGACAAGGGTTGGACAAATGGCTGGACAGGAGGTCGACGTGCTCCTGGCATTCTAAGTCCGCCAGGCAAGGTCTCCGCCTCGAGGGACAAGTCAAGCGCCAGCGAGCAGATGGCTCCGAGTTCGAATGATGGATCTTTTAGCTCGTAGCCGCGCTGGCCAGCATAACGCCACAGCCATTGCGCGGCCAGTGCCAACAGGTCTTTCTCCGCTAGGTTCTCTTTGTCGGACCAAGGTAAACAACTTTCAAAGCCGATCGTCGCGATGGCACTCTTCAAGAGCGAAAGAGAGGCTGCGTTGTGCAGCGGTACAGACTTTGTCAGTACAGCACCAGGCTGCATGCGTGACAATCGGCAGACACGCCACATGAGTGAGTCCCATGACGTCTCGAGCAATGGAGGGGGTGAAGTGATGCGTTGACGGGACTCAAGCCACCGAGTTCTTTGATCGAGCGCTTCCAGAGTGAAGCCCAGTTCATTCTCGAGTCTAGCGGGCTGTGAGGGCCGTATCCTTCTTCCCTCCAAGTTGGAAATGATACAAGCGCAATAGACCTGTGCCATTTTCCCTGCGGTGCTGAATCCGCCACTAGTTTGGTGTAGAATCGGAAGATAGCAAGATTAGGGCAGTTGTTGCTTGTTAATATTGGTTAGGACTGGTCATTTCTGCCTGTTTGCAGCGAACCACCTGGGAGAGAAGCATTCCCCTTAATAACGTCAAGGTCGGTACCGAGTTCGCCTCCTAAATGAAATCGGCGAATAGAAGACACAGCCGCAAGCCTCAAAAGAGATATGAATCTAAGCTTCGCGCGCATCACGGCATATATATTATTCTGGCCCTATTGGTCTTCTGGTTGCAGCCTGCAGTTGGACAACGCAGTCCTGCATAAGCCTGCTTCCCTCACGGATGTCAGATTGGCTAGAGGTAGCGAAAGGCGGTCGGGCTGGTAGGCAACTGCGTCACACGAGCATCGTAAGGGCCCGACGACTCAACTACTCCGCTCCGAAGCAAGTTGCCCCATTTGCTGATGCGGGTGTTCGAGCGTCTCGTCTCTCGTAGAGGCGGTCTACGCGTGATGCGATACCACACAGCCTTAATAAAAGCAGCGCCCGGCGATATTAGGATGCGGCTTGCTGCCCTCGGGCAACATCTATCGAGCGGGATACACTAAGGCACTGGCCTCGGGGAAGCCAGTCCCTTAGCGCATAGCCTGCTATTCCTAATTTCGAGGATAGACCAGGGCGGCTGAAAGTGAGCAACTCAAACGGCGTTCGCAGCTCCTTGAATAATAGGACTGACTAGGACAACGCCGTACCGCCCTAGGTAAGGACGGTAATAGATTCTGTCAGTGAACTTGGAACAGCCGGGTCTACAGTCTCATGGCTCTAAGTTATATCAGATATTTGCAAAGGCTGCAACAGGGACACCGTTTTCTCCGGTGCCCAGCCAATCAAAGAGGAAGTTCGAATCGCACATGCAATATCCAGGCATCATGTTGTGAAGCCTCGATTGCGCCATCGCCTGCTTTGTCGCCCGCTTATAACAATGCTTATAACAATGCACATGCTTGGGTTCGAGTCAACCTTGAACGAATATCTGTAAGATATCACTTGCGTCGCTCCAGCAAAATCGAATGACATGTCGGTGACGACATGGTAACGTAGCCTTGCCTACAGAAGGCGAGTTATATTCACCATCGACGGAGTGGTCTTTTGCGTCGCTTTTCTCCTGCCGCCCTTGAGGTGGTTTTGCTGGCTTTCATTGCCTGAGAGCTATTATTGAAGACAGTTGTTGACGCCGGTAATGATGGGCCATACTTCTTTCCCTTCGTAATGAGGCAGCGAACTCGGCCAAGTTAGGCGAACCAGGAGAATACCCGCCCTGAACATCGATCTGGTCCATAAGAAGGAATGAATGATTTGGAGAGCCAAGAGGTCACATCGCGACCCACAACTACGAGGCCTGCGCAATGGTGCTTTTTGAGTTCGGGCTAGTCCAACGCAATTAAACAATCAGTTCAGCTCAGGGAAACAGCCACCTTCACTTCAATCAGATTGACCAACAGGTTTATGGGAAAAGGCAGGTGCCAGGGCCGGCCTACCTACTTGTAGATACATAAGTCTGTATCTCGAATGTGACAAAATCACGTGGTTCAGCAATGAAGCAACATCGTGAGATGGCACCTCTCAGCACTCGATTGGTGCGTCCTTCATGAACACCAAAATACTAAATTCCTTTATGCGCCTCTATGGCGCAGTGGTAACGCGTTGCACTTGTACCTTGACAAGACAAATGCAAAGATCCCTCGTTCGATCCGGGGTGGAGGCAGTAACTAGATGAATACATGTCCTATCCATGTTGGTCACGACCTAGTCACAACGCTAGGAATTTACTTTTTCTTTATAAATATTTTCCCCTTTTTGCGTCCCGTCCCCACAGCGAGTGTTGCCCTATCAGCTCACCAAATCCACCGTCATTGTATATCGATTATAATCTACATCACCAACGGCAAGGACTACATACGCTTAGAATTAACAGCCTACGCACCTAGCCAGGCGTGTGCCTTATACCTGCGTTTTGCGATTGTGGCATGAACGTTATTTCCTACCTATTTTGATTTAAAATTTAAGCCTTAAAGCATAAAGGGGAGATATTATGCAGGCTATCATACATAGGGGTAGATATTACCAAATTCTTCTAGGACTGTGTTTTAATGGTTCCTCTTAAAACTAGGATATTACTTACCTACTCAACGATTAGCAGCGCCTAGTATCTGTTATCGAGAAGCCAGGAGAGACATGCCTTCGGGTGGCACTTTACTTATACGACTAGGATGATGCGTCAATGTCGTCTCCAGCAATTGGTCTTTGATATTGAACGAAGCTACAGGCAATCTCCTCCTGATTCCCTACCAAAACGCCGCAAAATATCAAACCGCCTCCAGAACCAGAAAAATGGCACCGTCGCCCATGAAATATGGTCTGTCGCAACCTGCACAGGCAGCGTCACGTACGCCAGCTAAATCATGCTGGCTCTGGGGTCAAGATACGCTAGAAGGCTCTCATAGCGTGCGGCGCGGTCCGTCATTTGCTGGTCCCACATCCAGATCTCTCCATCCCAGTCCTCGAAGTTCTTGCGGATAAGGGCTTCGACTTCATGGCACTTCAAATGGAAGTCCTTCGGGTTGTTGTCCTCGGCAAGCACAAGCATGTTCTTGCCGGTTGCAGTCCAGTTGGTGTCGAAGAGGTTTCCAGTCGAGTGTTCTCGGCCCTTCTGCTTCAGCAGTTCCTTGAGATGAGCGAGCGCGCTGTCGGTCTGCGCAAGGATTTTAGCCTTGCTATCGCGGCCGCGCTTCAACGAGAACCAATTCCGTCGGCCATTGCCGTAGCTTGAGAACAAGCATGCAATGTACACACGAGGAGCCGAACGAGCGATGAAGTCATAAGACAGAGGGGGAACTAAAATGCTATGGTAAGAATCATGTACCATATCAAACCGAAAACTGCTTACTGATTTGGCAAGTGCCGACGAGGTCTCTCGTGGTAGTCCCGTGGTCACCGCTCGCGTACTCATCGCAGATAGCTCGGTACCTGCCATAAGCACCTGGAAACTTGTGTTTAAGAAAGGCACCGAATCCTTTCTCAAGCCATTCTCCTAAACAGCACTATGGGTCAGTCACTGTCTTGTTCATACTTCGAGTCTTCATTTCTCTCGCCATTTCTAGGAAAAGGGGGCCAAGGGATGAAAGCCAAATATCGACCAAATTGATCGATATGAGGAGCACGGCAGATTTGATACTAACCTTGGCAGTTTGTCAGAATGATGACGATCGTGTTTGGAGGTATTTCTTTCATGGTAAAGACCCGCGCGGGCTCGGGGGTGGTTTGTGAAAAACCCATCTTCAGCGAAGTAGCGAAGATGTTTCTGACTTTGCCTTCAAGCGATGCTAGGACTTGACTGAACGATGAACGATATGGCGCGCCTGAAAATATTGAGAACAGTGAAGGGGAAATATAAAAGAAACTGAACTGTTGTGAGTCTGGTGTGAGAGAGATGGCTGTCGTGCACAATGCTGGTGATGGGTCAACCCACCGGGCACCTGTCAGCAAGAATTATCATGCTAACAGATTCACTAATTGCCGTGTATTTACCTGGAATGAACAAAGAAAAATCTCCGGGCACCTGGGCCTAAGGAGTATTACATATGGCGACAGGTGCACGAACCTTATGTGTCTTAGGTGGATGCCTAGTAAAACAGGTAAGTGCGACCCTGAGTCAGTACTATTAGGGAGAAATTTACATGTCGACGAAGTAGGTACCTACCTCTTACTTGAAGCAAACATAAACTTTGAAGGTATGTATATATAAGGTCAGGGCAGCTCAACGAAAACCTAGGGGGGTTCCTGGTCTGTGTGGCTCCCGTCTATATGTACTACATCGTCGTACTTGCCCAAGCGTGATCTAGCGCATTTTGGCGCCTTCCCTGGATATACCTTGAGTCACCGTCATGATCAGTCCGTTTTCTGCTTACCTACATGTCTCTGGGCAGTATAATTCACATGTGGAAAGTCTAGTCGCCGGACAGATATCAAATTCACAGGCTCAGAGGTTGGGACAAGATACAGTCCATACAGGAATGACTCCTTTTTTTCAATTTGCTCGGCAAAGGGCTCCAGCTATTCTTCGTCAGGAATGCGCTGGAGCCTCTATTACCATACGCATGCGGTAGTCCAGCTGGTCCACTCTTCCTATATTCTTTGGTACAAGAGTACTCCTTAGAGATAGAAGACCTCGAAAGCTCGCCGCCCTCGGGAACCGGCCCAGTCTTATTCCCTCCAGTGGATATGCTACCGATATATCGCGCGATGTATACTATGACTTGCCAGGGCTATAATCCTCCAGTCAGAAAGTGTTCCCTACCAAAAGTCACTGACAGCTTTCCACCTCCCCATCGCCTTTAAAGGAGTTTGTAGTGGCTCCTTGTCCTTTTGTTGATACGAACCAACTTAATATAGTGAATAGGGGTAAGGGCGTCTTTAAGCATATGGAATAAGCATAACCTTAAGTAGGTAGGCATGCAACGGCTAGCTTATGCTGATCTAAAGGTGACTGTTTCCTCTTTGTCAGTCCCTTATTTGGTAGTTGTACGATGGTGACTTAGTTGCTTTCATACCGGGACAGCCTTGCCTGTTAATCCTTGGGAAGCTTCATTGGTACGCCTTCATGACTGCGCTATTCCATTCCATAGGTACCTTACATAAGATCGACGCGATTGTATTGACAGGGGTAAATAAAAGTCTCTTCGGTTACACTGAACTCTTTCCTTGAATACCCCTGGATATGTATACAGTTAGGCTCATAACCGTAGGAACTCTTACGTACGCTTACCTGCTTCAAAAGCACAATCAATACCAACTTGCTCCTTCCAATTATGAAATCTTGAAGGAGCCATAGCCTATCAGGTATTCGGATGATTGCAAGGAGCGCCGCCAGTAATTACATACCGTGAAACTCTTGAGTAAACATACCTGGTACCACCATGCGTATCGTCATATTTAGAATGCGAACTACTCGAGACAGCTGAAGATGCTGTTAAACTGCATGGTATTCTCATCATACATTCGACGTCAATCTCGTACACACCGACGTAGCGTCGACTATCATTGGCTAGAACTAGGTATTTGCCGTTCTGTACCACTACCCTAGACAGATGCTGTTTTGAACAGACAAGAATCCCATTTATCCCCTACACATGGGATATTTCCCAAGGCCCATCCTCTACGCTGGATATAGGCCAAGCGAAGCATATATAAGAGAGTACTACGACAATCTGTCACCTTCGCCACCACTTAAATAGTACTGCTGCAGACCCCGCCTCCATTCTTCAGCCCCCATTGCAACCCTAGGAGCATGAGCGAGAGCAGGCTCGCTCCAATTTCTCACATCACACATGCAATCTACCAGGCGAGCCAGTTGAAACGGATTGTCTCCCGCTCTCACCATCTACATCGGTTCTGGTCTATTTCACACTTCTACTTTGAGAAGGGAGCGCATATGGACGTTCTTAGTGTAGAAATGAGACAAGAGGCACCCAGCCCGGGTACTGATCCGATCCGCTACTCGTTTCCATCGTCCGGGACCGGTGGGACTGACAGAGCGGTCGGCGCACCAGCACGGCGCAGACTGGCAGCTCGCACGCACGATCCTTCGGCTCCTCCAACCCAATCGCACAGTCGACAGGGTATTCTCACGACCAGTGAGCTACATTTTCCAGCCGCTACCTCAGAGATCCATATGAATGATCCCTGCAAAATGCCACCCGCAAAATTTTAAACATGCCTACTGGGCGTGTCAGATCATGTACCCTGGGTCTGGTTAAGGTTGCTATCGAGATGCCATTTGATCCTCCCGCGGGCTCTACCGGCCACGCTAGCCTTGCGCCCCCTTTTCCTCTAAAAGAAAAACTCTCTCCTTCTTCTATTCGTCATATCGCCTACCTACCTCTTGTTTACCTACCTATGTCCTTCCCTAACACTTGGTGGCATATTAGAACGCCGTTGACGTAGCACGATGGCGTTTCTACGACCAGTGCTCCCTATCCTAGCACTGATAGTCGTCACACTCGCTGCCCAGAACCTCACGACTTACATGCCGGAATGTGTGCAGCCGTGCCTCGCGCAGTCTATCGGCAGTACATCCTGCACTGGGCCGGAGGATAGCCAGTGTCTATGCAACAACCAGCAGCGTGTAGGATATGGAACATTTACGTGTGCCGAACAGAGCGGGGCATGTGCTGGCAACTCGACTGAACAGCTCCGGGGTACGTGTTCTACTCTTCATTATCAGTGGTACACCGCCCATATGGCACAGTGAAACTAACACAAAATCCCTTATTAGGCACGATGATGTCAGCGTATCGGCAATACTGCAGCGACGCTAAGGCGACGGGGAACTGGAACTCGATGGGCGGATTTCCTGCATTCACCTCATCAGGGACGGCGATCGGACCCAGCGCCACGACAACACCTCCGCCCACGGGTACTCCCACCGCAGTAGTAAACGACGAACCAAGTTCCTCGGGCTCGGGAGGACCCACCAGCAGCAGCCTAAGTACGGGGGCGATAGCCGGGATAGCAGTCGGAGGGGGCATTGCGGTAATCTCTACCACGGGCGGGTTACTGCTCCTAGCCTTCCGCCTCGGCAAAGTGTATTCGAGCCGCAAAAAGGACGGAGACGCAGCAGGTACGGGCCAGCAAGGAGGAGCTGAAGGCGGAGATGGTGGACAGCTCACTGATGTCACCGACGAGACGGCAAAGGAGAACGAAGCC